TTGGCCAGACCCCAGAAAAGAGTTTGGGTGAGAGAGATTTAATCTGTGAATATGCCTGAGAGTTACCGAAAGTGACTGAAGAATTAGCTCGTTGAGTTTCTTTCACCATTAGTGTTATTTCATCTGTGCTGCTTTTTCTCTTCATTAGCTCCAAAACCAGAGAGTTAATTCAACACACAGATTAAAAAAAATCTTTACAAATAGGGCCAGGGAATTAGCTCAGCGGCACAGTGCCTGCCTGGCAAGTGCAAGGTCCTGAGTTCAATCCCCCATACCAAAAAAAATGAATCTTTAGAAAAGAAAAAATATAACTTAAATCCTCTAGCATTTGATTTCACTAGTTGATAATCCTAAATTCTACTGCTAATAAAATAAATAAAAGCAGTTTCCTTTTTTAAAAAACCACACTTCTGGTACAAATTATGTCTGAACATTGGTGAAGAGCTTTACAGACCTTAGCCAAGACCTGACTAAACGCCCGTGTTTCCTCCATGCAGTCATTCATGAATAATTAGAACTTGGATCTGTGTGTGTGTGCCTTGACACATAGTGATAAGCATGTGTTCCTATGCATGTAACAATATGGACATGCAGTGTGACAAAAATAGAAACAAATGCCTGAATGTGCTTTTAAAGGACAAGCAAATGCTTTAAAAGCCTCTTTATCTTCATAATTTGATAGAATAAGCATATGTTGTTTAATAGTTTTTTTGACAACCCCTCAGCCTTATACTATGACTGCAAGAGAATAAATGCCCTGGAATATTGATGATTTCTGATATCCTCACTATGACACATATAGTCTTTTACCTCCAGGTCTCAGGCTGTGACTTGCCCCTTTGATGAGTCAAGCCTCTCCTTACCACCACAGCGCCACTGGTCATCAAGGGCAAAGCCAATTTGGAACTTCATGTTTAGGTAGCATCCCCATGTCCACCCTTATGAGCTCTGCTACCAGGGAATCCTTGTGAATGGACTTGGGACAGGTATCTCAAATGATGCTTTGTGCCAATGACATAAGCCTCTTAATCAGATTTAATAGAGAAGCTTCTACAGATCCTACTTCATAGAGAATTTTTTAACACAAACAGCATTACTTTTGCTTTTAAAGCACCTTTTCAAAACAAGGGAAATGGTAGTCAACCCTCTGAAAAGTACCTTCAGTTCACATGTAGTATGTCTGTCTGAATCTGTAAGGCTTGGCCTAGCCTGCTGGATTCCAGCTCCAAAGTTAAGAGGCCTATGGATGTTGGTAATGCTAAATAAGACTCACCCTCTTGAGGGAGCGAAGTGAAAAGGAGCAGAAGCTACCAAAAACTTTCTCCTCTGCCTTTCCTAGATTCTGATGTGCCCAGTTTCTGTAGTGGCTGTAAAAGGTAACACCAGGACTGGCTTAAAGAAAAACTGAAGAAGTTACTCTTTGTGAAATTTTCCTGCAATGTCCTCTGCACTTCTTCCTCATCCTCATTCTCAGTCCCATTTCCCAGACCTAAGTGCTTCAATAGACCAGAGCCCAGAGGATTTGCATTTAAAAGTACTGTATCCCTTTGAAGGCCCAACCCCAAAAGAATTCAGCTGCAATTCTAGGCAGAGCAGGTACTGGAGCAGGGGGCAGGGTGTTCCTCACATCCTAGGGTTTTTGGAATGTGTCTCTGCTTGAATCCAGGCCAGGAAACAAAGTCCCCACAGTTTGGCTTTCCTTTGAGGTAAGAGACTGACCTCTTCAGCATGCATAAATACCCAGCTGTGAGCTGGGTCTAGTGCCAGGCAGGCACTCCAGGCTGTTAATCCCTGAGAGGTACCCACAGCTCTGTTGGCACTCATCCCTCCCTCAACTGACTGAGCTACAGGAAGGAGGCCCAGTGACGGCATCAGCAATTGTCCCAGAAATGCAGAGGGTGTAGGCATCTGCCAGAAAGGTGTGGCTTAAAAAGCAAAATCTGTGCTATCAGGAAAGGTGGAAGAGGCCTTCAGTGGGAAGGTCAAAGATGTCTAACAAGGCCTCCTCTTGCTGCTGTGAGGGTCTGCACACATGCACACACATGCACATGCATGCACACGCACGTACCTAGCAAGAGAAATAAGAGAAAGACACTGTTTCCATAAGACTTTAAGAATAAAATTGAAATTCTCTTTGGTGCTTTCCCTAGAACCAAAAACATGTAAAAGAAAGTCAGGACTCAATAAAAAAGATCAAACTATATACAGGTGGGCATTTAAAATGCAACAACAGACAGAACTCAACAGACAAGCTAACAGCCTACTTCCACCCTTCCTTGAATTTGATTCTTTTCATTCTGGACCCCTGAGCCTCACTTCTGTCACCTAATAGCTCTTAATTCCAATTCCTTTTCTCAATTAGCTTCTAAGATTATTCAACACTAAGGTAAAAAGTGGATTTTTATTATATTTTCCAACAGGAGGCAGGGTCAAATAATGTCATAAAACATCATACTAATTTTTTAAATGATTGCAAAACAAATGTAATTCAAATTCTACTATATGATTAATTCTAATTCTGCTATATGCATTCTTAATTTCTTAACACATTTGACTCAGTACTAAAGCCTTGTTTTAAATTTTTTTTGTTTCCAGCAAATAAACACCATAAAAAACTATTTGCTATTTTCAGCAATCTCTTGAAATGTGTTTTCCCTTCCAAGGCTTACTTGGTCTACATGGGCAGAGGTAAAATGGTCAATATTGTTTTCCCAGGGTGCTGACATCTTAGAGGTATTAATGTTCTTTGACCCTTGTTGTCAAGAGATGGTTTCTTTTTAATCAAAAGTCAGTGGGTCCATCCTGAGATCATAGTGGAAACAGATTTTATAGTTTTCCCTCCTGAGATGAGGTGTTAACTACCTAAAACATAATTAACAACAGGATGTCAGTCAACAAGTGTACTTTTTGTTCCATGTCTGGAGAGTTTAGATGTCTCCAATTTAATAGGGGCCATGATGCTAGTTATCAACTCAACAGTCTTGACCTGACCTCTAAAAGTGATTGTAAAATGGTGCCCAGTAAATTAAGATACGGGATGTGATTGAAAAAACATAGGGAATGATTAACAGTTTCACAGTAAAAGACGCATTGCATTAATCCCCCTCAAAACACTCCCCCTCACTTCAAACACACTTATCCCATTATTCTTGCCACTTTCTGAAGCACTTCCGAAAGTCCTGTTGCATGAGTGTCCTTTTGTTGCACTGTCACAGCTGCCTCGACGTTCTGAATCAATTCAAAACATTTACTTTCATGGTCATTTTGACTTTGGGGAAGAGCCAGAGGTGGCATGGTGCCAGATCCAGCGAATAAGGTAGTGAGGACACACTGTAATGTTTTTATGAGCCTGCCTGTTCATTGAACAGTACTTGGCAGCAGCATTCACCTTATTGTTGATCACACCTCATAAAGACACAAAGAGGACTTCCAGAACTGCTTCAGAGTGGCCAGAATGATGGAATAAGTGTGTTTGAAGAAAGAGGGAGTCATTTGAGGGGGATCAGTAGTAATGTGTCTTTTACTGTAATGAATGTTTTTATTTAAACATTCACTGTATATTTTGATCACTCATTGTAGATGTCAGATTCCTAGGAGGAAGCTGGCCTATCTCATTACTATGAAGTGGGCATTCAGGTTTGAGGCTAGGACTTCAAAGTAAGGATATAAATACCAGCCTAGGCACGAGGGAAGATGTGTGCTCAGTTATTGTACACACAAGATAACAATGACTCACTTCACTCACATTACATTTGGCTGGAGATTTTAAATTCCTTTTCAAAAACAATACTATTGTACCACAGGGTAAAGATTTTATTATCCTTAATAATAGGATTGAATATCCCAAGGCAAGGAAGCAGAAAATTAGATCTGCTGATCCCAGTGCCAAGACAGGGGTTATCAAATGCCACACTGGGTCACTTTCATGGGCTTTCCAATGATACAGAGGCCTGGAAACTCAGAGAGGCACAGCAGGGAAGTAGCTGGCTCCAACCAGGAGAAGCAGCAGATGTCATGCTAGAACTCCCAAGAAGCAGAACTATGTCAGGACATGGGCACTTCCTATACCTCTCCTAGTCCATTGTTGCTGGGGCATTAACCAATGAGGCAAAAGCACTAAGAACTTAAGGAAAGAGGTGACTATCTTGGCTCTCTCCTACACAGGCCACTGCTGGTAGTGTGGAGAAGCCAGCAGAGTCACTGCCTATTTGATGCATCATCTCTAAACAACCAAAATTGGTCAAACAAATCCCTAAAGATGAAATGCAAGTCATAAACCTTTGACCTGAATTCAAATTTGTAACAATAACAGAGAGAGTTCATGAGTCTTGTTCCCTGTATACATTCTTTCTTCTTTCCTCTTCACTCAAATCTATTCCTATTTATTTTGCTCTCCCATTTTTCAGATTTATTTCTTCCTGCCCTGATACTTAGAGGAGAAGAAAAAGGCTGTGATTTAGTTTCATCTCAAGACCCAAACTAAATATAGTGCCTCTTTCTCACTAAAGCCCTTGGCCACTTGGCCAATTTTAAAAGAATTGACAGGATGTTGACTCAGAATTCTCTGCCTTTCTCTCTGCTAACCCCTAGTCAGATGTGGGGGGATTGAAAGCAACATGATGATTGCCCAGATATCTTCCCTGAAGTATTCCACCAACCAAACAGTGCCCCCAACCCTTTACTAATGATTCACACAATTTCCAGTAGATATAGGCACAAGTCTACATAGTTTTCTATAAGCAGAGGATCATCCAGCTCTCTTAAACCAGAAGGAAACGTGAAGATCCTAGCTCCTCTAGCTGCCCTTTCACTATTAACACTTCATTTCACTAAAACACAGATCTCTCTCCCCAAAGGAGAAATCAATGGCATTAACAAACCTCTCATCACTGGGCTAGTTATATTTCTCATGATCTATAGTCGTCATGATCAAGGTGATTCCCCTCTTTAAAAAGATTACTGCTTTAAACTTTTTCTCTGGTCTTTTTCTGCTCCCTCAGGTCATGGATTATATGGGACTTTTGAAATGTTATCCTCCTGGAGGAAGACTAAAGAAGACCAACATGTTAAAGAGAGAACTGCAGCAGTCTATGCAGACTCCATGCTCTCCTTTTCTCTCACCACTGCCATGTACCTGGTCACCTTTGGCATAGGGGCCAGCCCTTTCACGAACATTGAGGCAGCCAGGATTTTCTGCTGCAATTCCTGTATTGCAATCTTCTTCAACTACCTCTATGTACTCTCATTTTACGGTTCCAGCCTTGTGTTCACTGGCTACATAGAAAACAATTACCAGCATAGTATCGTCTGTAGAAAAGTCCCAAAACCTGACGTATTGCAGGAGAAACCAGCATGGTACAGGTTTCTCCTGACCGCCAGATTCAGTGAGAACACAACTGAAGGCGAGGAAGCAAACATTTACGATAGTCACCTATTGGTATGTTTCCTCAAACGCTGTTACTGTGACTGGATAACCAACACCTATGTGAAACCTTTTGTAGTCCTCTTTTACCTTATTTATATTTCCTTTGCCTTAATGGGCTATCTGCAGGTCAGTGAAGGGTCAGACCTTAGTAACATCGTAGCAACGGCGACACAAACCATTGACTACTCTGCTGCCCAGAAAAAGTACTTTAACAACTACAGTCCTGTGATTGGGTTTTACATATATGAGTCCATAGAATACTGGAACACTAGTGTCCAAGAAGATGTTCTAGAGTACACCAAGGGGTTTGTGCGAATATCCTGGTTTGAAAGCTATTTAAATTACCTTCGGAAACTCAATGTAACCACTGGCTTGCCTAAGAAAAATTTCACAGACATGTTGAGGAATTCCTTTTTGAAAGCCCCCCAATTTTCACATTTTCAAGAAGACATCATCTTCTCTAAAAAGTACAATGATGAGGTTGATGTAGTGGCCTCCAGAATGTTTCTGGTAGCCAAGACCATGGAAACAAACAAAGAAGAACTCTATGATCTCTTGGAAACCCTGAGGAGACTTTCAGTCACCTCCAAGGTGAAGTTCATTGTCTTCAATCCATCTTTTGTGTACATGGATCGATATACCTCCTCTCTAGGAGCCCCCCTGCACAATTCCTGCATCAGTGCTTTGTTCCTGCTCTTCTTTTCAGCATTCCTGGTGGCAGATTCTCTGATTAATGTCTGGATCACTATAACAGTTGTATCTGTGGAGTTTGGAGTGATAGGTTTCATGACATTATGGAAAGTAGAACTGAACTGCATTTCTGTGTTATGCTTAATGTATGGAATTAATTATACAGTTGACAGTTGTGCTCCACTGTTATCCACATTTGTTTTGGGCAAGGATTCCACAAGAACTAAATGGGTAAAAAATGCCCTGGAAGTGCATGGAGTGGCTATTTTACAGAGTTACCTCTGCTATATTGTTGGTCTGATTCCTCTCGCAGCTGTGCCTTCAAATCTGACCTGTACACTGTTCAGGTGCTTGTTTTTAATAACATTTTTCACCTTCTTTCACTGCTTTGCCATTTTACCTGTGATACTGACTTTCCTGCCACCCTCTAAGAAGAAAAGGAAAGAGAAGAAAAATCCTGAAAACCAGGAAGAAATTGAATGTGTAGAAATGGTGGATGTCGATAGTACCCGAGTGGTTGACCAAATTACAACAGTGTGACAGTGTCTGCTTGGCATATTTTCACCCTAGGTCTTATCAAGAGCGAAGTGATTGTGTTACTGAAACAGCGAAATTCAAGATCGTTCCCTTTTTTAAGGATAAGAAGGCATTACAAAAAAAGGAAAGGACAAGGGGGGTAATTGGCATGGCATATTTTCAGTCTTTAAAACAAAAGGGTTGTTATCAGAATGAATTCACACACACACAAACACACACGCACACACGTGGACCATAGAAGACTTATGGTCTCTTAAGATCAAATACAAGAAAGCTTATTAACAGGCAGGATCCCATTTTATCCACACTGCAGATGTTACTGGTATTGTGATAAAAGCAACTGATTGAAAGGTCAGCTGCCAAGGCAGAAATAGCTTTAAGCATTATTCAAACAACAAGGCTTTCAAAACTTCCCCAGAGCAGTAGCTGTAGTCAGCATCTGTGGTTTGAAGTCTTAGCTGTCTCACCTAACTACCCAACACCTAAGGAGATGTTTTTGAAAATTCTGACCAGCAAAAGCAAGCCAAAACCTCAGAAGCAGACATGGTAGAGTGACCATCACCCATGAACTGAAATTGAATCACCCCTAAATTCACCTGGGTGAGGCAGTTTTGTTGTCTAGAATGAAAGTATCATGTTCCCCATTGATATACTTTTAACATTTACATAGTTCAGTTAATACACCTAAAAAACAATGCCAGCTTGAGCATTACAGAATTGGGGCAAATCTATTTTGGAATATCTTGTCACTTGTCACCAAATGGGCCTGCTTTATTAGTTACAGCTCTTGGCAGGAGGCTCTAGGGACATAAAATCACAGTGCCAAACCCAAATACCTGGCATGATGGAGAAAAGCAGGTGTCCACTTGAACCTAGGGACAGTGTCTGCATTTTAACAGCAACAACAACAAAAGCCAGCTGGTACAGCTGTTTGTGGTTTGGCCCTACATGCATTTTTGCATGGATGCCCAGAAACAACATCTGCCCATATATAGATGAGAACGGGAAGATGAGCGCTGAAATAGTTGTTTGCCATAGCTGCAACTTGTAGTACCAGTCTGCTTTTGCTATGGGACATGACTTCTCAGGGACTTAAGAAGGGGGAAAAAGATCTTTAGTGACTCTAAATCCTGACACGGAGAAACTTTATAGAAGTGTAAGAAGATAAAGAGCCAAAAAGGAAATAGATGGAAATTACCAGGAAAAGTAATCACCAATACAAATCTATTAACAATAGCAGTCAAACTTTCCTGCTCAACTGGCTCTCCCTCACCTTCTTTATCCCCCAACACACCATTTTTGGTGTCCTTCTACTTCACTGCAAGGCCCTACTGTACATTAACAAGCCCAGATATTTATATGTTGACCTGCAAAATCAATGGGGGAAATGGTGCACAGATCTAAACAGAAATGTTTTGTTTTGAAGAGAATGTGTATGTTGCCACAGACCCCTGCCTTTCTTTAAATCTACAAAAATGAAACTAAAACCTGGTTATAGTTGAGGCAAACATCTGCAGTATTTTCTCCTTGTAGAGATGTGGCTTCTTTAGACACCTATAGTAGTAAGCATTTCCCATAAGCATCTTACCTGTCTGGCCCTTAGCAGAAATGTGTGACTTCTCCATCCTCCTTGGAGATTCTCTAGGTCTTCTGAGACCTAGAAGAATAAAGTGACTCACCCAGCTCACCCCACTAGAGATTTCTCATCATTGTAGTGTGCCTAAGACAAGGCAGCTCGATATTGGGTCTTCTCATAAGACAGATATTACCCCCCTTGAAATACATTTCTAAGACAGGAACATAGGACTTTATTGCCACTGGGCAGACACTTTTCAAATGTCTGGGATAAAAATATTTGGAATTTCAGTTTGTCATTGTCTTTCTAAATAGCAAAAAAGCCCAAATGATTCACATGTAACCACACCAAGTACAAATCTGTGCTTTCTATTTCACGTACTGTTGTCTGAACAGTTCTAAATACATGTACAGGGGATCATGGCTAGTGCATTACACACTTGTTCAGTCTCCCTTGCAGACACACTAAGTGATCATACTAACTTGTTATACACTCAACAAGAAGATAATGAGCTTTAATCTAAGGACAAATACAGTCCTCACAAAAGGGCAAGTTTGCATAATAGATCTTCAATCAATTCTCTCTCCGAGGGGCCTGAAACAAGGCTATTATTTATAAAACAGAACTGAAGAGGGATTGGTTTTATTCTTAAATCATATGTTGCTAAATCATTTTCTGAACAGTGTGTTCTAAATCAGCCATTGATTTAGTGTCAGCCACATGGAGCACCTCAGCTTAAAATGACTCCACAAAACTGACATCACACACACACACACACACACACACCAATTAAATGGATTTTGTTGAGAATTTAATCATTCAATTTGGTCAACCAGAATGACTTACTATGGAACTTTCTTTTATGACAGATAGTAGTTTTCCAAGTTGATTGAGTCTCTGTATACGCTGGGATATTGTATTTTTAAATGAAGGGCATTTTCAAACTTGTCAACTTCTCTTTTCAGCACTTGAAATCAAGGCTTATGAAATTCTGACTGTGAAATGAAATTTTCTATTGGGGGACTATGCATGCCAAGATTTATTATTTATTGTTAGATAATTATTATTTGTTACTGTTGATTATTGCTCTGACAGCATTGGTTTAGTGCCACCATGGAGAAGACACTTTAAGGAGTATCTCAAAATCCTATCTCCATAAAATTTTAAGTCTTTATGTCATGAAGTTTTCCTTTTTGAATTGCTACAAAGATGGGAAAAAAAAGATCTCACTTGAAGTTTTTTCTTTAAGTCCAACCAAGACATTAATGTCCACTTTACCAAAGAAACTTATTTGGTTGGTTTTGACTTAGTGTTTGTTGTTTGTTTACCAAAGACAATATTACATTCATCAAAAACATTTCTCCTGATCAACTGAAAAACTGTGATACATGCTGGTTTCTTGGCCTTCATAAGGAAAATAAGAAAAGCCAAGGTAAGGATGATGATATTCTCTCATTGAGTGAAATTCAGCAGAAGATGTGAATTCACGAGGAACTTGGGATTTGGAAAAAATAAAATGATACCTGAAATAGGTAGGGCATTATTGGTTAGTCCTGCAGCAATGTTCCAACAAGTAGCATTAGGGCTCCTTGGGCTAAAGGAAATACAATTGGTTCCACAGAGAACATAAAACAAACCTTCATGAAAATTCCTATGCATTGCTCCAGCTTATAAGTTTTCTTTTGTTTTGGATTGCTGTTTCTTTTTCTTTTTCTTTTTCTTTTTTTTTTTTTTTGGCATTTGTATTGCTTTTGTTCTAATTTGTGTTTAATTTATGTTTGTTTTGTTTCTTCCTATCCTACCACTTTTACCCCTTCAATTTTTAGTTAGAAGTCAGATAATCAGATGCAATCCTTCATGGCCACAGTTATTTATACAATATATTGCTCTAAAGAAGCCCCTTGAGAATCGTTCTGAGTAACCACCATCAAATTGTAAGTGGCATTCTGTGACCATGACACTACTTTTCCTCCAGCCCCAGCAACAGAGCTTAGCTGTGTCCTTCACAAGAACAGGTAGGACAGAGAGCTGCCTTGGAGTGTGGCAGGAGAGACAGCCTCTTGACCACAAATGGTAGCCTCTTCATAATGGATTTATTCTTTTGGATCCTATTAAAGTATCCCTGCAGCTTGTAGTAGTGTTTGACCTCTGTGAATCTGTTTTGTCATCTGTAAAATGGGGAAAATAACAGTAAATATCTTTCAATTCAGCAAATATTTATTGAGTGCCTAATATTGTCCGTATACTGTTACAGAGACTGGAGACACAAGAGTTAACAAATCAGATAAAAAAATAATCTGCCCTCTTAGAGTCTGCATTTGAGTGATGTGGCAAGTTTGCTGTGAGGATTAAGTGACATGACATTTGGAAAGCAAGGACTAGCAAAAAGCAGGAACCCAAGATATCATTGTTAATTTGTCAATCTCACACAGTAGCACTAGGGCTCAGGATCTAAAGCTACAGAGAAATAGATGGGGCACAAGATTAGGGCTATATAATCATGCAGTGGATTGCCATAGAAGGTAGTTTAATTCCTGATCATTTTAGGACATTCAAAATTAGGCTGGATCACTACTTTGTGGAACAATTGTAAAGGACGTATAAGCTCTAAATGTTGAGGTTGGACTTTGACCTTGAAAATAGGATATAGGCACTTGGGGTGGGGGTGGGGAGGGAACAGCGCTGCTTATTAACTAGGCCTGGCTTGTCTGAAGACATTTGAACATTTCCTTTGGGTAATTTGCTTTTAAGTTTGTGCTAAATAAAAAACACCCAGAATCTGAAGACAAAGTTCCTATTTAAAAAAAAAAAACATAGAAAAGATGTAATACAAAGGAAAATATTAAATTATTACTATATTGGATTGTCTGGCAAAGAACTGAGAATGGCTACAGCCAGCATATTACAGAGTTCCTTCCTGTGGTGGTTACAACTGTTTATTTCTGTTTCATGCCAATCCAGGAGAAACCAAAGAGGAAAGTGAAAGCTTGAATCTGTTCACCTGAAAAGGCAGTGTCAGGATGTCCACACCAGCCCATCTCTCATCTGCCCCTCTTCGTTCTGCCCAGGTGATCTGTTTGAAGTCCTCCTTGATACCTATGGGAGTGCCAAACAAGGAAAAGGAAGTGATGATCAGAGAGCTCTGGCCTCTGTGCAGACTTCTGAGTTAGATTAAAATTAGCAACACAAGGTTTGAAGAAGCCTACCTGGTGGGGAAAGAAGGCTTCTTTTCAAAGCACAAAGAAAGCAATGTGTACCAAGGAGGCAACCCACAGAGGAACCTTGGTGGAAAGGAGTGAAGTTCCTATGGAATGTGCCAGCTTCTTCTCCCTCCCAAATGTTGACACCAGATGCATCTTTGGATATAAATCAGCCTACTCCCTCATTTTTCATGTGAGAAATCTAAACTCTGGAGAAGTGAAATTCTATCCACAGAGCTAGTTAGAAGTAGATACAGAACTGTAAATGAACTCTAGTTTCTAGCCTCAGTTCTTTCTCCATTCTGCCACTTTACTGCCAAATTCTGTGTATCTAAAATTTGAGGTCTTAACCTGGGGGTTGTGAATGAGTTGCAAGAGGGAGGAACTCTGAGCTCCCTAAAATTAAATCATATGTGAAAATGTGTGTATATGTTCAATATGTGCATTTTCTTAAATAGAGGGTTCATAGTTGTCACCAGACTCTGAAAGAGGTCTGTGACATGTAAAGGTTGAAGGACCACTGTCCTAAATTAATAAAGACCTCATTGGGAGTGCGATCCTGGTGTCCTTATTTTAGCTAATGGGCAATCAAGGACTTCTCAACCATCTTTTCTTCAAGGAGCCAAAATTTTCTTCTAAATACTGGTTTCTTCGTGCCAATCCCAGTGCCTATTTCTGTTCATAAATTCTTCATTCATCCTTTAACTCATTCATTTGTTTATTCTGCACTTGATCATAGCCAAAAGGCCAAGAAGCAATAATTTGTTTATTCTGAAACACTTTTCAGTGCTAATTTATTTCTAACACCTGCTAAACATGACCTCCATGGCAGAACCAGGAAAGAACCCCTCTGCATTGTGCCCTTGTTGACAAAAGGAATACCGGGTTGCTACTACATCTCACTATTGCAACAAAATATATATAGCCTCAAAATTACAGTAACCTCCCTACACACATACACAGAGTGGGGGACCAACATATAGAAGTGTCTTGTCAAAGAATGAGGGAAAGAGCAGCCTAGTTCCAGGTTATATAGCAGCAACATACCGCATCCTTGGAAGGGCTGCTCCCAAGTGAGCCCTATTGTGAAATGTGTATCAGGCATGCTTGAACAAATGTAGCAACTGACTCTCCAACAAAAACAGAAAGTATAAGCCTCATTCATCTTGATAATATCGGTAATGGGCAAATAAATCATGGCTATAAACAAATGGGTTAATTTAAAGACAGGTAAGTGTCTTGGACACAGATATGCAAATAGAATTTTAGTTCTCTTGACTACTGATCAGAAGCAAGATATGGAATAGGCTGATGGAAGAAATTGGAGAATAAATGACTCTACCTGTCCTTGTTGGCTTTGCTTCTGGTATAACTTTAGGCACAGTGGAATCTACCAGGGTTGACTACAGGCAAGCCTGAGGGACTCCCTGCTTGGCCTTCCCTGAAACATAAAGAACTCATCAGTGCCACTTGCATCACCCTCTACCCAGCCATCAGGGAGACTCCTTTTCAGATGGAGGAACATTAGTCCTACACTGTAGCATCTGTTGTGAGATTTAAGGGCTTTATTCATTAAGATCTACAGTGCTTTGTGTAATTCCTAGAAAATGGCAAAACAACCCATTTACATTTCCCATTCCAGCATCATCTTTGGGAAAACCCAAAAAAATTCTCTGTCAAAACAGTGTTCTTTATATTCTAAGATGACCTCTGAACTTGTTTGCTTCAGCCTTTCAGACATTTATTTTTAAAGTTAACATCCTACAAAAATTGCCTTTGTCTGCTATCCCAGAATCACCAAGACAGTTGTCATGATGTCTCCTAAGATTATGGATGACTGGGCAAAACTGGCAAGACTCACTGGCTCTATTTGTGTGACACACAAAAACAAATACAATGCATACACACACAAGTATACACACAGACATAAATATGCACACATACATGCATGTACACACAAAAACATACCATCTTTTACAATATTCCTGATATGTGTGAGGCACTTTAACATATCCTAGCAGGTCCAGCTCTGTGCCTTGTAGGTTTGTGAGGTTTGTCTGCAAAATACCCTAAAATAAAACTTCCTCTTCTGTGTTTCCTGGGTGTGAACACATCTGAGAGCAGCCAAACAACACTCTTTAAAGAAAAGAAACCTGGAAAAGTAAACACGCTTTACAATTTATAAATTTCTCACTAATAGTTTCAAGGTGGAAAAACTACATTTGATGCACTTTTCCAAGTCATTATAAGACTAGCAAGGATGCAGAACGACAGAGACCTCTCCCAACATCTAGAATTATGGAAATTTAGCCAGGCACAGTAGCACACACCCAAAATCTCAGCTACTCTGGAGACAAAGTCAGGAGGACTGAAAATTTGATCACAATTTAGCAATACCCTGTCTCGTACATGATCCTAGATTCAATCTTCATTGTTGAAAACATAGAATTGTGGAAAGTTATATAGAATCTTTGTTCGGTGACTCAGAATGGGGAAAAGGAGATGGGGAGGAAGGAAGAAGGGCATGTAGGGTGATCATTCTATCTTGCCAACTCTCAGTAAGGAATGAGCATTTTCTGTTTATCTCTACTGTATCAGTTTGCTGGGAACATCAGTACATTTCACCCAACTCAAGGAAAGGAGATGCCATCCAGGGAAGCCTGATGGCAGGAAACAGCAGTGTAGAAGAAAGTCCTGTAAGCAACAGAAGAACTATCCAAAACCAGAAACTTAACAACTAACACACACATAAAGGTGGGAAAGTGGACATTAAGAGGAGCCCTAGTGCAGTATCTAGAGATCTTAGACAAAGAATGTGGCAGGAAAATGGTAATTATGAGGACATTAAAACCATTGAAATCTGTAGAAAATTACTAAATATATAATCTGAGAATGGAGTTGTTACGGACTTACTCTGGAATAAAGATAAAGCTTTAATCTGTATTTTTTGACTAAACTGGAAGGACCACATATT